GTATAAATGGAAGTTTCGTTTACTGTTTTCGTCTCGCCCCAGTACTCGTTCCGAAATCTCACAAGATTGGCGAGTTATGGTCGATACCTTTGCTCGGATAGCACAAATAAAGGTTCGAGTCTCGTGCGGGGCTAAAGTTTTGTCCACAACTTGTGAGTACAATCAGAGATCCGCCAGGGTCCGCGATGCCGTTCGCCGAGCTTTGACTATGGGTTTGCTTCAGTGGTCTACGGTCATTGTGTTTAAGCATAGTCGAAATGAATAGGGAATGATGTCCTACAATCGAGCCGGTTCGAGTCTGGTATGTGCCCTACATTGGAGTTCCACTCAGACTTGTGTTGGGGTTTTGGATGCGTATGTCGCTCATATTATGATTTGCAGTGGCTGACGGATGCCAATCAGTGCATTTATGCCGCCTCCCGTGTTTTTCACCTATTACCAGACCTCGAAGTGTAGAAGACTTGGTTTTCCTGGGCAGGTGTCAATTGGGCTCTATTCGCCAGCTATGTATGTGATAGTACGCCGAATGACACTCTACTGTCTTCGTCCGTCAGAATGAATAGTATACAATATGGATAATAATAATATTTCCTGCAAATCCGACCATAAGTTAAATCGCCGCTTGTGTGTCCATTAAAATGATTGCTACTTGAGAGAATCAGAACATTCTTCAGAGTTGCCTCGTGGTGAAAAACATATACTTTTCACATTAACTATTTCAGCTGGAGTATGTGCTGGCGACTTTAGGAACATCCATCCGTGCTGATTTCAAATAAGTTTCTTGAAGTTCTCGAGAGTGACTGGCTAAAATGGGAGCAGAACAGGCAGGGAAACATATTCCCACGTACAAACAAACAGGCACGTATCTAACAAAGTTGACGCCGATTTTGTGCTATTGTGAGGGGTTTGAACAACATCCGAACGAACCTGCAAGAAGGGAACTTTAATTTCTTCTCACAATGCTCGGTAGTTACTTTAGGTCCTTGTTATCCAACCGGCTATCGTTGAATCGTCAGAACAGTAGCGACTTCAAATACGTCGTCATGCAGCACAAGTGGAGTGAATTTCAGTTATAAGAAGTACATGCCGAGTTACGGGTTTCTGCACGTTGTATCTTGGCTTTCGCTGTGGGTTTAGGTTTTTGTAAAGGCCTTGATGGAATTCTTTTTCTAGAGATGGAAAGAACGGAATGATGAAATAATTTGACCTGACTTCAACGAAACCTATTGCTCCTCGAACTGCAGCACCACGCCGTCGTCAAAAGTATTCAGAACAAACATTATCCCCATGACCGATGGGTTCGCTGAAGAGTCCACGTTCCACAGAGATCACATTGACTAGAAAAGAGGTCTTTGAATGAGTCACATTCCCAAGATCGTTTTTTGGGAACGTGACTCATTGAAAAACATCTATTCCAGTCAATGTGATCTCTGTGGAACGTGGACTCTTCAGCGAATCCAAGCAACAAAAAACACATTTCCGATGCATTTCTTGATGATTGAGTCTCAGCCAGGCATTCAAGAAAATTGAGAAGCTAATTTAGAAATGTCAAAGCATTTTAGAAGGGTTTCAATAGTATGTAGTTCAGTTACTATATTTCAGACTGTGAGGAAAAGGTTTTACTTCACTTTTACATTCAAGTACTAGATGAGAACTGGAGCGATAGTTTATAATTTTACAGGATTTATTTGTCACGAATAGACTATTAGGCAATGATTCAACTGTTACCATGTCTGCAAGCTGAAGTACTTAGTAGCTTGACAAGGTGAGCTAAGGAGAAATACACCAAAATCTTGAGTTATTCGATTTGACGTGCTGGCAAAGTTTGTCCCGAAAGCTGTAGTTATACATTAGGTCTTGAAGAATTGTATTTGAATGAAACCTGAATGACCCAGTGGAAATAATTGGAATCACACGGACTCACTCAAACTTTGGAAAAAGTACTATTTGTACAGCCTAGCAGCTCGGGCTAGTGGAAATGCAAATAGAACAAATGTCGAGCCATCACAAAAGTTCATTATCGGTTAATTTCGTCAAACAATCGCTATTTCGTGCAAATATCGCACGCAGTTCCCTGAAAGCCCGTTTTGTAGCATATTTCTGGATAAATTGTGTCCAAGCAGCATTGCTCGCCGCTTTGGCATGGTTGAAGGGATGCAGGCATGAGAAGGAAAATGATGATTGTGGCTTTTGAAGTGGGCTACATATCGTTCTGAGAGCAAAATGCTGATCAAAAATCATGACTGGTACGCTGTGTTGTCCAATGAATCCAGCCAACTGTGGGATTTACAAATTTGGCGATTGGTGCAATGTTCCCGTGGGAGTATGGAGGAAAATTCAGAGTTTACTATACTATCTTCCAACACCTGAAGTGGGAAAGTGATGTAAAGAACATATGGATTACTGCTGTAGTAAAGCTGAGCAATTAGAAAGTGGACCCATTTAGAGTGTATTAACTAAAAAATAAGAGTACAGCTATTGAAACAAAGTAGAGGCTCCTCTTGCAGTCAAATGAGTCTCGTAGATAAAACTCCTCACAATTATTTCAATGAATCGGCCTTTGGAGTCATATTAGTTCAAGGCTACAAGACTGATAGCAGAATTGCTTTATCGAGAAGTGGCGCTTAAGCAAAATTGCCAACTTCAAAATCGTGGTAAAAGCTAGATTTACAAAGTAGTCGCATGAACTTCGATTGTGGTTTCGCCTTCATAATCATGGCTCAAAAAACTTGAACAGGAGTAAAGCAGTGGAAAGAGCCCCAGGAACAACAGTAAGAACTCTTCTCACCTTGAAGTTCGAGAGCTCCACACTTTTTAAGGTCAAAAGTTTTCCTTTGATCATGTTAGGACAAATCATTATGCTGATCGGATTTTAGGCAAAGAGCAAGTGTCAGCCGTTTTAAGACTCCATTTACATGCTTCGGATCGTAACAGTATAAATTTCTCTATCATGATCGAAAAAGCGACCAAGCTTCCAAAATGGAATCACTCGGATTTTAAGCCTCTTGACGAGCTCTACGTGTAGTTTGTATTATTTAATTGAGAACATCGATAAGAAGAGTATGGAAATCCAAAAAAGCGTACTAGCCCACAAGAAAGGTTACACGTATATTCACTTGCTGTTTCAGTGAGTGGTGCATTTCGCACAAATCGCCGATCTTGGCAGCCCTCCATTTGATCTGCGACTCCTTTGAACTTGCGTTTTATCGAGATTATCTTGCTCTCCTGCACTGAAAGGGATAAATCGAATAGTGAGCAAAAAAATCTGACAAACAAGTAGGTGTTTGAGCATCTTCATTCTGCAGAACCTTCGAAAGTGGACCCAACACTCCTCTATTCCCATCAGTTTTTCATGTGCGTAGAACAAAGAGAAAACTTTTCTCAGTTAGTGAAGCAAAAAACGAAAAAAAATTCAAACCACAGATTTTGTGAAAAGCCATTCCATGCTTTTGACTGCGGAAACAGCTGCAATTTTGGAAACAATGGCATTGTTCTCCACTTTTAGGTGATGCAGTATAAATAAGCAGAGCTGTCAATAATCCATCATCAGATCAGCAGCATTCGAAATGTTCTTCTACATTGTATGCGCTCTTTTCCTGCTTAACGCCTTCACAACTGAAGCAGCAGTCACCACTCAAGCTGTAAGTAGGTTACTATATCAGCAAATTGTGTTGTAGAATCTTTTTTCTATTGCTATTTGAGTAGGGTAGGGCAGGCAAAATGGATTGTACAAAATTAAGCACTCGATTATTGAAATCGAAACAAAATCATACCAGAATCAGTTCGTGTTATGCTCATTAATCCCACCGGGATGCTGACAATAATTTTTCCGATGGGATGAAATATTAGGAGCCATGTGCACTATAAGGTACGCTACCTGCCATAATATCACGTTCTCCCTATAAAGTCCGAAAGTGTAATGCATTACATACAAAATGGCATTAATCGCGATCAATTTTATAAACTAATTATATTCTTACAACCAAATCCATTTCAGCCATGCGTAGACAGAGGAGGTGAAGCATACTGCGCAGAACACACCGGTAGCCCCGATTACATATGCACCAATTATGATAAATACTACTTTGCATCGCAGCTTTGTGCCAAATCATGCGGTGTTTGTGTGTGAATGTTGTCAACGTCAATCATCAGTAAACCTTTCCACAAAGTTGTTTTTTTTTCGTTGTCGAGTCAAAAAAAAAAGAAACTGGGTAGTTTGAAGATTAAATCTCCGATTTAACTTGTATGTATATGTAAAATTTTAAAGAATCATTTCGAAGATGGGAATTCATTGCATATGCAGGAATCTGTGGAGCACTTTTTAAAATGAAACTCGAGCCACCTCTCATTCTGGAGGGCGTGGTATTCATTATGTCTTACTCGAAAGTAACTTTCAACGAATGGATTTTTCACAATTTCTTCATTTTTTGGTCTTGAACACAACGTCGCTGTTGTATTCTCGTGTGTAGATGCAGTAGAGCCTTATCCCACTTCCACCCTTTCCATATAAACTATAATAGTAAAAATGCACTATAACAGTGAGAATAGTTAACCACGATAAACCAAACGTGAAGTTCGAGGTTCAATCCAGTCGGCTTTTTCAACACAAAATAACTACAACCATAAAGTTCGTTTAAGATCAAGGTGTTACCTGTTCATAGCCACAGTATCTCTCCATCGACCGGACAAGGCACTCATGCCATCCCTCCTAAATGAGTGACGCAATTAATTCATTTGGCAATTACTTGACTTTTCGACAGTTGATGTATTTTTCCTATAGAGCAGGCCTATGGGCCTTCAAAAGCATGGCTGTCATATGTGTTGCGGTCAGATGTATACAAGGGGATCGGAATAGCCCA